TATACCTTTATATACCCCCTCCCTCCCCCTGGGGCGCGGGGCTCGGCGGGGCTCGGCTGGGGCGGCGCGGCTCTCTCTCGGATGCACTACACACGCGGCGCACCCTCTCGCTTGCTCCCTCTCGCGCGTCCACACTCGCCTGGAATCGGCTTTCTCTCTCCCTTTCTGTTTCTCTATCTTCTCTCCACCTCTTTTATTCCATTTTTTATTTCTTTGGTTTTTTTTCCTGTGGACGTATTTTTTTTTCTTGGCGGTGCTGGCTGCAGCGTACTGCCGGGGCCGATGTCTTAGTTCGCGTCGAGCAGAGCGAAAGGCCGGGCGGGGCCAAGCGAAGCGCCCAGCGAAGCGCCAAGCGTCGTGTGGTCCAAGTCGCGCGCCAGACTCGCGGCCCTCGCGGGGCATCGCGGCCGCGTGGCGTCGTCGTCGTCGTGGTCGTCGTCGTGGTGGTGGTCGTCGTCGTGGTCCCCACTCGTGTCTCGCCGTCGGCCTCGGCCACACGCCGTGGCGTGGCCGTCACGTGGCCGTCGCGAGGGGCGGCCGACGTGGACGTCTCGGACGTCCTGGCAGTGTCCTAGTCACGCCGTCACTGACCTTCCCCACGCGCCCCGCCCCGCCTAATTGCCGCGGCGCGCCGCCCCGCCCCGCCCCGCCCCGCCCCGCCACGCCCCGCGGTCAGCGTGCGCCGCGCCCCGCCGCAGCGCGCCGCACCACGCCGACGGCCGTCGCGGCCAAGCGGTTTTTTCACGGTATCGCGCGCGGCCGCTCTCAGCTGGTGCCAGCAGTAGTAAGTTCGATCGCGCCGAGGGGAGGCCGCCTGCCGGCCTGCCGCCTCAAGGGCCGCGGGGGCGGCGAGACTCGCGGCGAGAGGGCCCCGGACTCGGCCCCGGAGGGCACGGCGGCGCGGCCCAGGCGCGGACGCCAGGACGCACCCACACCGCGGCGGGGCGCGAGGCGCGGCGGCGGCAGGGCCCGGCCGCCTTGGAGGTTATGTCTGGCCGCGGCGCGCCTCTCCAGCCGCGACGCGCCCCCGTCGTCTTGGCGCGCTTGGCGCCCTCGGCGCGCGGTTGAGGTTATGTGCGCCCCGCGGCGCGCACCCTGAGTACGCCGGAGTGCGCCGCGCACCGCCTGGATGTCGGCGAGCGGCGACACCGACGACGAGGGCCGCGAGGACCGCGACGACGCGTGCTCGAGCCGCGGCCAGGACGACGACGATGAAGACGACGAGGACGGCGTCGTCACCGCGCCCGAGGTGCACATCCACGAGGACGACGACGACAGCAAGCTGCGGAGGCACGTCGTCGACAGCCCGGCGCCGCCGTCCCGCGCCGCGTCGCCGTCGTCCTCCTCGTCGTCGTCGTCCTCCTCCAACAACAACAACAAGCAGTTCCTGCTGCCCGCCGAAGTGTACAAGCATCTGCTGACCAACGCCGTCCTCGGCCGGACGGAGAAGCTGGGCTCGTACTCGCCGTCGGACAACCACGGGCACGCCGACGACGAGGATGAGGACGACGACGACGACCTGTCGTCGCACGCGCCGTCCGTGTTCCCCGGCAGCCTCGCGCTCAGCAGGGCACTGCAGCAGCACGCCGGCCACGGCCCGGCCTCGCCCCCCGACGAGGTAACGCCCCGCCATCAACCCCGGCATCTCCAGTGGCGTAGCCGCGCAGCGGAGCGCCCCGGACTCGTGGAGGGGGCGTAGCCCCGCGTCGCGCGGCCCCCCCGGACCCCGTCGCGGGCCTCCCCACGCTCCGCGTCAACCCCAGCATCACCAGATGTAGTTTTAGCGGCCTTTGTGGCTGCCCTGTTTGTGGAGTAATGACAGTAGCATAAAGAGAGTCGTGTTATTGTGCGATATCGCGAACCCCATCGCGAACCCCGTGGCGGGCCTAGGCAAGCAGGTTGGATGCAGTGCAGTGGCACGGCGCGGTTCGCCCTGGGTCCGGGGCGCGTGGAGGCTGCACGGGGCTGGGGCCCGTATCTGCGCATCTCTCTGAGAAGGGTTTGCTAATTGTGTGCCGAACCACAAAGCTTGCGGAGCGTGGCCGCGCCGGCCGCGCCCAACGAGACCCTTGTTTCGCCGAGGGCGGTGCGGCGACGACGGCGTGGTGACAGCTGCCGACGGCCTGCCGGGGGTGAATCAGGTAGCGGTGTCCATTAGCAAAGTCTCCCGCTCCTGCGAGGTGGGCGTCAAGGGTTGCCGCGCAAGGAAAGGCGCACAAGGAAAAGAAGGACGTGGGCGCCGTACAATACAACTTTATTGATTCGCAGAGAGAGAAGGAAGGCCGGCGTGCAGCGCGCCGGCCGCGCCAGCCCGCCCGGCACCCACAGTCGTCCTCTCTTTTTTTCCGCCCCCTCCCTTCCTCTCTCCCCCGCCCCTCTCCCTCTCTCTCCCTCTCACTCTCTCCACCTCTCTCCCCGCCGTTCCTGTTTCTCCCCATTTTTATCCGGCTGTGCGCGGCCCGCCCCTCGCACCATTATCGGGCGTAAAAGATTTATATTT